CGACTCAGACCAGTCACCTTCTGGGGACCATGGCGGGGCCGGGGAAGCTTGCGTCTAGTGGCTCACTTTCAGTGCAGGGGACCGGGGCCTGGAAGGTGGCAACCAACGCCTTTCCAAGGAACAGTGCCAGGGTGAGGGGGATTGGTGCTGTGGCGGTGAATGGTCTTGCACTGGTGGAACCCGATGCATCGAGGGCCATCCAAGGGACAAGGACCTGCACCGGGGCGTTCGCAGGTGGCAGGCGGGCTGGTATCAGGAATATGGACACTGGTGCCTTGAATCAGGCTATCCACATGAACACTGTGCCGGGATCTAGGCCATCTGGCCGGTGACCAAGGCTGCGGAACCAGGGTACTATGCCTCTGCTCTGGGGACCGGCAGCGCTCCACTGTTCTTTGAGGTGGCCCCATGGCTAGCTTGGCCTTGGATTGAGGGACCGTAGCAACATCTGCTGCCAGGCATGGCATAGGCAGCCCCAGAAGGCCCATCAGGTCCCTAGCCGCCTGGAAGGCCTTGGGCATTCAATGCACTAGTAGGTGCGGGGGTCCCCTACCGCTCCCAGGAGTTAAGGTGGATCCCTGGGTGGGCTGGGGGGTCTGACCAGAGGGGTACCCCCTTGTAGCTCCAGGGCAGTCATATGGCCCTAACTGGCTCCTTTGCCCAACGTCCTGCCCCCTTCCCCTCCTTGGTCAGTGCTGGGGAGCTGTGTTGCTTCTTCTGTCATTTCTTGGGCACCGGTGAGGGGAAACGGTGCCGGGAGGAACCCAGTGCCGGTGGGGTGCTCTGCACCGATGCCAGGTGAAGTGCAGCCTCCTGAGGAGGGCCTTTAGACAGATGTCCTTGTCTTTCTGAGTCCTGGGTTGAAAGTTTACACAGATTCTGCACTTCTCCTTTATGTGTGACTCTCCCAAGCACTTCAAGCAGCTGCCATGGGGGTCACTAACAGGTATAAGCCAGTTGTAGGATGAGCACGATTTGAAGCCTGGGGAACGGGGCCTGCCCCATCCTGGCGCAAAGTCCCTGCTGGGACTCTCACTTACTAACACTTAACTCTAAACACTTAAAACTAAGTACAGTAACTCCTCACTTAACGTTGTAGTTATGTTCCTGAAAAATGTGATTAAGTGAAACGATGTTAAGCGAATCCAATTTCCCCATAAGAATGAATGTAAAGTGGGGGGGGGGGGGGAGAAGAGAGTTAGGTTCCAGGGAATTTTTTTTTGCCATACAGTACAGTACTATAGTTGGGAGGTGCCCCCGCCTTACCCCACACAGGCACAGCCCACTGGCACTGGAGACAATGAGGGGGCAAGGAGGCTGAAGGTGCTGTAGGCTAGGAGAAGCACGTTATGCAGCAGCAGCGGCAGCTTCCCCTACTCTACAAGCACCAGGGGCGGGGGACTCAACCCTCAGCCCGCCCACGCCACTCCTTCCCCCAAGCCCCCACCCATAACCTGTCTCTTCTTCCTCCCCCTCTACTCCACACGCAGTGTCTTCGCTCCTCCCCCCTCCCTTCCTCGCCTCCTGCCAGTGGCAATCAGCTGGCTTGCAGCGCTCAGGAGGCAGGAGCAAGGACACTGCGTGCAGGCTCCCCCTCCCTCCTGAATGCCGCAAGCCAGCTGATTGCCGCGGGCAGAAGGCGGGGGGAGGAGGGGGAAGGCACTGATCCGCGGGGTCTGCCCGCAGGCGGAAGGCGCTGGAGGGGGGCGTAGAGGAGCTGATGGGGGGGCTGCCAGCTGTGGACAAAGCAAGCAGCCATATGACGTTATAGCGAAGCATTGCACAACTTTAAATGGAGAATGTTCTGTAATTGAGCAGGGATTTAAGATCAAAACAATGTTAAGCGAGAGGACGTTAAGTGGGGCGTTACTGTACCGCTAAGGCAAAAAATTCCAACAACTGTGCAAGTGGGCGCGCACACACTAGAACAGAATCAACATGAGCAAGCACTCGAAGAACAGAGTAATACAAAGTATTTCAAAAGCAAGTTACTCTATTCTAAACTGATTGAGACATGAACATAGTATAGTTAAAAAGAAATAAGTGGGAATAGCAGTAAAATCCAAATTTTACAGATACAGATGAAAGAATGCCCCACAAATTGCACTGTGTGGCCAGTTGACAGAGATTAGAAATAACCTGAAATGTGACTGAAAATAATTTTTCATAAGGCAAATGACACTTGCCCTTTCCATAGTACTTGAAAGTGGTCTTTGTGGAGAAAAAAAATTAAGAAAAAGCAGGAGGAAGTCTATCAAAATATTTAGAATCAGAGGGGTAGCCGTGTTAGTCTGAATCTGTAAAAAGCAACAGAGGGTCCTGTGGCACCTTTAAGACTAACTGAAGTATTGGGAGCATAAGCTTTTGTGGGTAAGAACCTCACTTCTTCAGATGCAAGCAAAGAAGATGTGAGGTTCTTCTTCTTCGCTTGCATCTGAAGAAGTGAGGTTCTTACCCACAAAAGCTTATGCTCCCAAT